AAAGATTATGTTAACTATCTGTAAAATTAGAAACAATGTTAACTGTCTGTAAAGTAGAAAAATCATGTTAACAGTCTGTAAAGTAGAAAGAAATGTGATGACTGACTGTCTGTAAAGTAGGAATAACATTACTTAAACTGTCTACAAGTTTAAAAAACATGTTATCATAAGATAACATTAAGTAGAAAAAAACATTAACAGTCTGTAAGAGTATAAACAACATTACCTTGACTGTCCACAAATTTATAACATGTTACCTTAAGTATACATGAAGTAGAAAACATATTATTGGTCTGTAAAATTAGAAACAATTTTAACTGTCCACAAATTTAAAAACCATGTTATTTTAAGTGTTCATAATGCAGAAAATCATATTTTCTTAGCTGTCTGCAAGATAGATGAAACATATCTTAACTGCATATCATGTTAAGAAAAATGTTATCTTAAGCCTATAAAAAAAAAGTCATCTTAATTGTCCATAAAGTATAAAAATACTCATATGCTAATAACTAACCAGAATTTATAAGATCCATACAACATAATTTACTTGCTACAAACGACATCGCGATTGTGTGACTAAAAGTGTTTTAATAACGTCAGCCAGAAGCAGTAAATAGCACGAAACTTATTTTGGTTTATGATTGAATAAGATACTAAAATTTAACAAGTAGCACAGTATCAAGGTGCCTTGATCACAAGATTAACATATCATTCAGATAATAAGAAGAAACGGAACAAAAAAATTATGTTTTCCAACAAAGGAGATCAAATGTTAAGTAATTAAATACCGTAAGATATAGTTGCAAGAAAAAAAAAATCCTAATAATGATGTTACATTTAAAACAAAAACATAACACCTGAAAGGAGTGATAAAGTACTGGCAAAAATTGAAAAAAAGTAACTGAGTCTCAAAATCATGTTGTTTACATCATGTTTTAAATGCAAGTAAATTATTTATCTTGAAGTCTAAAGAGAAGGCTAGTAGGCACTATAAGTGTAAAAACAACATGATATGCATGATTTTAAACAAATAATGAACAAAAAACTTGGCTTAGGAGACACTGATAAGAAAGGAAGAAAACAGATGTTAGTATGAAAGAACTCATTCCAAGTAAAACATCTTCAAATAGCATAAACGAGTAGTAAAAAACAGAAAGAGATCTAAGGACACTCACAGTTCTTGGTGGAAACATCAGGATGACAAGACTAGTAAAGAAAGGCACGAGGTGTGAGGACACTTACTGTTATCGATGAAAACATCAGGATGACATATCAGATAGACTGCTGTCAATTTAGAAGATGACACCATATGCAGGGGTAAAAATAAAATTTAAAACTGGATCGTACTAAACAAGGCATGTTGGACATGGTGAAGGAAAAAAAAGAGAGACAAGAAGCTAAAAGGGCAATGTTTAACTCAAATAACAGCCAACCAATGAACGTGTCAAAGTATTTGACCTTTGATTGAGTGTGCAAGAAAGGTGAGAAAAATTAACGTATAAACAAAATCAAAGAGAATTTGTTTGTAGTTAATCATAAAGCTACATAATGGGCTATCTGTGATATGCCTACCACAGGTATCGAAACCCAATTTTTAGTGTTATATGCCCTCAGACTTACTGCTGAGTACTGGGGGGCTTCAAAGAGAAAAGAAGCAAAGAAAAAGTGTTTGTTACATTGCTACATAAGTTTGATGCAAGGCTTCATTAATGGCTATCTGCACATAACCTTCCCTAATTTTGAAGTGATAGACTAAAAAAATACTCTTATTTTATCAACTAGTGAAATTTGACCATCACTTTTATAGTACACCCACAGCCCCAAAGTGTCAAATGCATTTTAGCACCAATCGTTTGTGAACCACAAATCCTCGGATTCACAGTCTGACATGCTAACCCCTAGACCAGTCATTCCCAAACTCTTTTAGTATGAGGCTCATTGATGTGAATAAAAACATTTGAGGCCCCCCCAACCTATAACTTTAGTGTGGTGATTGAAAAACAGTGCCGTAGCAAAAACAATAACGTCTCCTTACGACACACTGTATCATTTAATTAATTCAACATAATTTTTATTTGCATATTATTTATTAAAAATTACAATTAATTCAGCATCTTTGTTTTTGGTCCATTTTTTTTGGGGGGGTGGCCTCAATGGGGGGCTGCAACTCCCACTTTGAGAAACACTGCCCTAGACTATGCAAGGCCCAAGAAGTAATGACAAATATTAGAAAATAAAAATTAACTCTAGTGAAAACAGTTGACAGCAGAAGAAACAATGGGGATGTCCATCTCTTCAGTCTTTGATACCATTGTTTGGTGTCACGGTAAAACCTTTAACTGAACTAAAAATAAAGAAATCCAGTAAATCAGTTCAAAATTGAAGCTTTTATGAATACATATACATAAATAAGCTGCACTAAAAAAAAATACTGTCTCTCTAGCCAGGCTATTTGTCTTGATACAGCACAGTTTCTAGCCATTTGAATGGGATTTTGATTTTAGTTATTTAGCAAATACATAACAGGGTTATATTTAACTCATTTTATATATCAATCACTCCCAGCGGGGCTTACATACTGCATTAGCTTGAGCAGTTTTATGTTTTTGCTTTTTACAACACTTAGTTTAAAGAACTGACCAGAAACACTGTGAAAAACCCATTTATTTTCTGTGTAAAATATTAAGCACAAAGAACACATCTTCAGGTTTTCTACAAAAATAATGTATGTGGTTATAATCAGAAGATGATTTCTCATCACATATTCTTACAAGAAGAACAGATTAAAAAATAACAGGCTAAAGATATTAGGGCAAGCATGCACACACCTGTACTTGAATTAATTCTTCCTGGAGTTTCTGTAACCGTTCTTGTTCAGCTGCAACTCTAGATTTAGTGCTGCCACCACTTTCTTCTTTAGATATGAACTGAAAGGTGCTGCTGTCCATTTCCTGACCAAAAGCCATTTCTACAAGTAAACCAGATGAAAGAATACATGTACAAATTAGATCTTCTTCTGACAATCACAACAAAATTATTTCCCTCGGCATGCAATTAATAAAATAAGGAACACCTGAAAGAATTATTTCTCTCGGCATGTTATTAATAAAATAAGAAACACCTGAGAGAATTATTTCCCTCGGCATGTTATTAATAAAATAAGGAACACCTGAAAGAATTATTTCCCTCGGCATGTTATTAATAAAATAAGGAACACCTGAAAGAATTATTTCCCTCAGCATGTTATTAACAAAATAAGGAACACCAGAAAGAATTATTTCCCTCGGCATGTTATTAATAAAATAAGGAACATCAGAAAGAATTATTTCCTTCAGCATGTTATTAATAAAATAAAGAACACCTGAAAGAATTATTTCCTTCAGTATGCTATTAATAAAATAAGGAACATCTGAGAGAATTATTTCCTTCAACATGTTATTAATAAAATAAGGAACATCTGAAAGAATTATTTCCTTCAGTATGCTATTAATAAAATAAGGAACATCTGAAAGAATTATTTCCTTCAGCATGTTATTAATAAAATAAGGAACATCTGAAAGAATTATTTCCTTCAGCATGTTATTAATAAAATAAGGAACATCAGAAAGAATTATTTCCTTCAGCATGTTATTAATAAAATAAGGAACATCAGAAAGAATTATTTCCTTCAGTATGCTATTAATAAAATAAGGAACGCCAGAAAGAATTATTTCCTTCAGCATGTTATTAATAAAATAAGGAACACCTGAGAGAATTATTTCCCTCAGCATGTTATTAATAAAATAAGGAACACCAGAAAGAATTATTTCCTTCAGTATGCTATTAATAAAATAAGGAACACCTGAGAGAATTATTTCCTTCGGTATGCTATTAATAAAATAAGGAACACCAGAGAGGAATAATTTTCCATTCCCATGACCAATCAAGCACTGAAGTTCACAGTGCTTAAACAGTAGCTAATTAAAAGCATAATTTCTCTTCTCAAACATCTTAGTACACCACATCAAAACAGCTTAAAAGTCGTCTTTTAATCAGCAACCAAACACTGCAACGAATCATTATGAAATTCTTGTACTTCTCTTCACAATGATTCTTTTCATTAAATAAATATAGGATATTTAAGTAAAATTTTTCAGTACGAATGATTCTTAAGGTTCCTCGAGGTCATGTAACGAGATCTAAGCAATCAGTAACATAACAGTGATTATGTAAAAGATGATATTTATAGCATTTAAATCATCAAACGTTAACAATGCTGAGACACATTTTTGACAAGATGGCAGTCATACTTGTAACTTTATGACAAAAGTATTATATTCTTTGACTTAACAACATCTTCCGAGAGATGAGGATAGGATTCGTACTTGCTTTTCCTTTGTAAGATTAAACACTTATAAAGATGCTGCATAGTTATGGTAATTATTTCATCAGTGAAATGTCAAATATAGTGTATATGGTATATATATATATATATATATATATATATATATATATAT